TGTCCCTAATGTGTCCTCGTGTCCCTAAGTGTGTCCTCGTGTCCCTAATGTGTCCTGGTGTCCCTAATGTGTCCTCGTGTCCCTAATGTGTCCTCGGTGTCCCTAATGTGTCCTCGTGTCCCTAATGTGTCCTGGTGTCCCTAATGTGTCCTGGTGTCCCTAATGTGTCCTGGTGTCCCTAGTGTGTCCTCGTGTCCCTAATGTGTCCTCGTGTCCCTAATGTGTCCTGGTGTCCCTAATGTGTCCTCCTAATGTGTCCTGGTGTCCCTAATGTGTCCTCGTGTCCCTAATGTGTCCTCGTGTCTAATGTGTCCTGGTGTCCCTAATGTGTCCTGGTGTCCCTAATGTGTCCTCGTGTCTAATGTGTCCTCGTGTCCCTAATGTGTCCTCGTGTCCTAATGTGTCCTCGTGTCCCTAATGTGTCCTCGTGTCCCTAATGTGTCCTGGTGTCCCTAGTGTGTCCTCGTGTCCCTAATGTGTCCTGGTGTCTAGTGTGTCCTCGTGTCCCTAATGTGTCCTCGTGTCCCTAATGTGTCCTCGTGTCCCTAGTGTGTCCTCGTGTCCCTAATGTGTCCTCGTGTCCAATGTGTCCTCGTGTCCCTAGTGTGTCCTCGTGTCCCTAATGTGTCCTCGTGTCCCTAATGTGTCCTGGTGTCTCTAGTGTGTCCTCGTGTCCCTAATGTGTCCTCGTGTCTAATGTGTCCTGGTGTCCCTAATGTGTCCTCGTGTCCCTAGTGTGTTTTCGTGTCCCTAGTGTGTCCTGGTGTCCCTAGTGTGTCCCCGTGTCCCTAATGTGTCCTGGTGTCCCTAGTGTGTCCTGGTGTCCCTAGTGTGTCCTAGTGTCCCTAGTGTGTTTTCGTGTCCCTAGTGTGTTCTTGTGTCCCTTGTGTTGTCGTGTCCCTAGTGTGTTCTTGTGTCCCTTGTGTTGTCGTGTTCCTAGTGTGTCCCTCTGTACCGACTTCTTTCTTCTACGAGTGGCAATCACTACCTTAAGTTTAATTATCCTGATGATAATTATTCTATTTTTGGCGTAATTTGTTACAGGCAGGGGATCTGATCACATTCACTGTGAAATCGACGGAGCCGCTCAACAACGTGGTCTACCAGGTCAGTCTGCGTACCCGTTTGTGTGTACGTGTGTTTGAGTGTGTGTGTGTGTGTGTGTTTGAGTGTGTGTGCAGTGACGTGGATTGTGATAACATAACATAACCAGTCAGGTGTTCCCTGCAGTCCCATATGGGTCAGGAGGTGGATGATAGTAGTACCTAATCTCCTTCTTCTTCTTCTCATGGTCCACATAGGGAAAGCTTTGGGATCACGTCTAGACACAAGCTCGTCTCGTGTATTGTCCATCATTTTTGACACGGTCATCTTCCATGCAATGATGGCAAATTGTCAAGCATCTTCTCGCTCGTTATCCACCTGTCTCTGATCCCCCCCCCCCCCCACCTCCCCCAATCTTTCCCACGCAACTCCACTTTTCTCCTTCTCATGCTATGATCAGAGAATCTAGATTGTCTTCTTTTGATGTTGGCAGTCAGTCTTTGTGTACCAGTTTCTTCCTACATATCTTCATTGCTTCGTTTATCTATCCATGATGTTCTCATCATTCATCTATAACGCCACATCTCTGCCGCTTCAACATAACTAGTCTATGATTCACTTCCAAACACCAGGATCAACACTAATTAATGCCTAACTAAAACAAGCCAGACCAAAATGAACATGTATTGGGTTAGCGTACACAATGTTTGCTGGTTTGTTTGTTGCCAGCAGTTGGTGAATATTAAATGTGGCGAATTCAAAGAGACAAGGTCTGGTGTCAGCAGCGATCAGTCATGGAAAAAGACTGCAATGTATCGGACACATCCCGAGGATACCAGAACAGATAATCGCGAAAATGGGAAACGAATGAATTAGAGGAAACGTGATTATCCTAAAGAAACCCTAAAATTGTTGTTGAGAGGCCAAAAGTTAATTAGTTAGTTAGTTAGTTAGTTAGTTAGTTAGTTAGTTAGTTAGTTAGTTAGTTAGTTAGTTAGTTAGTTAGTTAGTTAGTTAGTTAGTTGGGTTATCCTCATTGCACTCCGGACATGTCCATAGGTGCTCAGATTCTCCCCTCAGTATGAACCCCAACGTCCGATGGCTAATAGTACCAGTTCTATGTTGATTAACAAGTCTTCTGGCGTGTCCGGTGTGCGTCTCGTTTTTTGCTGTGCCGATCTTAATTCCCAAGTCTGCCATTCTGGCGAGTGATGTGGATTCACTGCAACCAAAGTCCTCTATCCTTCCCATTTCTCTGAGGGCATTGAAAATATCAGCATGATCCATAGGCTGACCGTCGGTAGTGATAGCGGATCCAGCCAACCTGTCAGCTCTTTCATTTCCATCGACGCCTGCGTGTCCCGGAACAAAAATAAAGGTGACTCCACGCACAGTGGACTTCTGTAATGATTCAAGCCATTGTCTTCGCACTGAACCTGCCTGAACCCTCCGGATCATACTCATTGAATCACTGAGTATACACACGCGGGTGTATTTTTGTGTTTCAAGCCAGGCGAACGCTTGCGTCACTGCCATCACCTCCATCGTCATGCTGCTGGTTGTCATGGAGAAGGCGCCGTTAGCTTCTTTGACTAATCTGCCCGCTGAGCGTGCTGTAAATGCCCATGCGCTTCTTCTTTGGCGTATAACGGATCCGTCTGTATAGATTATTGCATCTGCTTCGTCTGAATTTTCACCGATGAGAGCGTTGACCTCTGCATTAACAGCAACAGGATTCTCTTTTGTACATCGCCTGTTGAGTGTGACAATACAGGAAAATGTACAAATAAACGCCTGAGGCACAGGTATCCATTCTGCACCAGGTATGATGTCGGTTAGGCTGCATATTTGCCTAATAACATCTTCTGCCCGACCTAGCCACGATTTCCCCCTCTTCAGGCCAAAAGTGCTCAGTTGATTCTACCCATGGTAATGAAAACATTACTAAGGAACTGGGGAATGGGCTGTCAGCTATATTTAACAACAACGAAGATGATGATGATGATGATTTCAGAGTATCTCCTGTATGATGTACTTGAAACAGGGAAAAGATCTACAGGAAGGTCAAGGCTACACTATAATCACATATGAAAACACGATCTAAAAGAATGCAACATTGACCCAAGCACTTGGGAGATATCAGCTCCAGGCCAGCCCCTATTGAGGAAGACGAACGGACTGTCGCACTTTGGTGGAGATCAGACTCAGCAAGCTACACAGAGGAGAACTCCCGAGAGAAAACCCTGCCTCAGTATCTGTAAGTTAGAGAGAGCATTAACGTTTTTATGCGGATTTTGAAACAGAGACCGCCACTCCAGCGCTGGACAGTCACTGCAGACGCTGTTCATGAATCCAGACGTACAACTTCATGGTCCATAAGGACTAACGGTTGCCTACTCACTTGAATAGTTTCTGACATTTTTTTTTCTTTCTCTTATATAAGTGCTAATTATGTCTCTGTATACAGTGATCTGGTAAATTCAACAGGTTCTTTCCCGAGGAGGGATCGTGAAAACTGGCAGCATTGATGTCAAAAACGGCCAAGAATACACGTTCTCCATCACCTCCGACTCTAGCATGGCACCCAACGCTAGGATTGTTGTGTACTACGTCAGAGCTGATGGGGAGATAGTCACCGACAGCATTAGCTTTGATATCAATGGGGCTTTCAAAAACAAGGTCGGTATGGCGGCTAGTTGGTCACGTGTTCTAGCTCGTTATGTGCACGTGTGTGTATGTATGTGTGTGTGTTTGTGTATGAAAGCTTTGTGGCTAAGGAGTGGGTGAGCGTGTTTCACAATCCCCGAAGTTGCAGGGATCGATTTCCACGGAAACAATTTAGAAGAAGACCGTTTCCGGGGCTGTGGACACTGGTATGGGAGTCATACCTTGGAAGAGATTGGGTAATTGGTTGGCAAGTAATATTCCCTAGACAGCAGTCATCATGTATCAGCTCCTTTGCAGAACGTCGCTCCTGTCACTACACGTTTGAAAGCTTCTCTTTCTGTGGCTACTTCCCCAGCACTATGTGCTGTCGTTGCAGATGATGCTTCAATGCTCTGTATCCACCTTCGTGGTGGTGTCCCTCTACCTCGCTGGCCTGAAACTGCACACTCCATCACCGTTCTACCCAGCCCATTATAACCAAATACCCCAGCTTTCGGGATAGGATGATGTTTATGAGCCAGTTTTACTCTATGCTCAGATCATATCACTGTTACTCTTCTTCTTGGTCGAGACGTTCATACCATTTTTTTAAATCAACGCCCACATACAAATACTCTCAAAATATCCAGTTTATTTTGTTCCGTGGCATTTAATAATGTTTAACTGTGTTGCTGGGGACAGTTCCCTTTTTGGCGTCGTTACAGTAGTCTTCAGTGGAGTTGTTTGTAAAGTCAAGGTTTTTACAGTTTGTATCATTTCGTTTTCTTCATTTGTAACTATTGTTTTTAAAATTTAATTTTTTTTTTTAATTACCACACATTTTCAATGTGAACGTGAAATTTTTGGTGGTTGCTTGCTTGTTTGTTCGTGTGTTCTGGTTCAAGTTCAGAAAAAAAAATTGTTCAACAATTATGTTGTACCCACCAGGTGTCGTTAAGTGTCAACACCACTGAGGCGGAACCTGGTGACAATATCCAGGTGACAGTCACGGCTGACCCATCGTCCACTGCCCACCTTCTGGCCATCGACCAGAGCGTCCTTCTGCTCAAGTCCGGAAACGATGTCACAGCTAATGATGTACGTGCCTATTTAAATCGTCATCATCATCATCATCATCATCATCACCATTATCCTCATCATCATCATCCTCATCGTCATCACCCGTTCGTTGACGTAAGCCACCATTCTTGATAACCGAAACATATGAACAGCTTTCGCGGCTCTCGACACCCCGCTAAGAAGGAAAAGAAACACCTATATAGGCAGCTCAGCACAACACACACATACAAACACAAACACACACAAACATACACAAATATACAAACGCATACAAACACACAAAGAAACAATCTAAACCAGCTAATCCATTTAAACATTAGTCGCGTATACTTTACATGACCTTTTAGAGCCGTTTCCGGCATTTATCGACCCCTTGGGTTTTACTGAGCAATTTTACCATCAGTAGTTTAACGAGGCTCGGGACAATCAAACGGAACTAACATTGTAACGTTCTACCACAGGTGCACAGTAACCTTAAAGCCTACAAGACCAAAGACTCGGTCCATTTAACTAACATTATAATGTTCCACCACAGGTGTAGTTTTTATAAGGAGTAGAAAATTATAGGGAAGAGAAAAAGTTGGTAAGAAACAACAATTAGTTTATGTTAGCTTTACAAAATCGATCACAATAAACAAACAAAGAACGTTGCGGCGATTAGCCTTCATCAGCACATAAAGGACAACACAGTACACATACACAAATAGGCTCTAACTATGACAACGAGCTTAAAGGTTACGATACCATTGACTCTGTCCATATAACTAACATTATAATGTTCCACCACAGGTGTACAACGAGCTTAAAGCCTACGATACCATCGACTCAGTCAAGAACAGCTTCTCCCCGATTCTCTTTGACCCCCTGGATTGTATCAACTGCCGCAGGAAACGGCTTGTCTGGTGGCCATTTCCCATTTTCTATGGCGGAAACGATGCCACGCAGATCTTCCAGGTACTTCATGTGTGACTTTGTGTCTGTCTTTCTGTATGTCGTCTACATACTCTCCTCCCTTTCGTTGATGTCTGTGTTAGTCCCATCCTCCTTTTCGAACTCCTTAACTGCATTTGTCTTTTTTTTTTTTAAACTCAGTCAGCGTCTGTGGCTTAGGCGCTCGTAATGCCGGGGTGCTGGGTTCGATCCCAACTGCAGGCCTTGCTTTAGTTTCGGTAGTGGTATTGAGAAATGACCGTACAGAAAGCAATGGCAAACTACTGGACGTAAACTTGCCTAGAAAAAAACCAAAACAGCCAAAAATGCTGGAGTCGGTTCTGAAATGTCCTGTAAAGGATACGCAACTAACTGACTTGAAATAAAACATGATTCTTTCCGAGAGTGGAACAAATTCTAAATCCTTCGACTTACGCTGCATTTATTTACCACTGAAAATAATGGAAATTAAATCAACTTGTTCCGGGTCCAACAAACTTAAATTTTAAAATATTATTTCCTGAATACAGTTCTACCTACATTATTAAATAGTTCGACAATAACCATAGACAGCAAGAAAAACTAAAACTTCTTTCATTTTATCCATTTCAGAACGCTGGTGTTACAGTCATTACAGACGCTCTTGTCTATCACTATCAAGAGCCCATTCGTAAGTAGATGTCATGTTATGTTTTCACATTACTCTGAAAGGTCCTGTTTGCGCATGGTGCGTATACTGCTGGACGAGCGTTGCAAGATTCACTGTTTTCCGAGAATATTCAATGAAAGAGTGAATTTGATTGGTTCTCGCACAGATTTGGTAAAAGAGTGGCTTTGACTGGCTCTCAAACACGTGAGAATTCTGTAAAAGAGTGTCTTTTGATTGGCCCGCGCACAGATTTTAGCATTAGGTCAAGAACCATTGATTGGTTGTGGCACATATTTGAGTATATGATGAAAGAGTGCCCTTGATTGGTTCTAGTCTACAATTGAGCATTCAGTGAGGGCCTTTGATTGGTTCTCGCATAGATTTGAGCTTTCAGGTAGGGAGTAAAGGACACAAAGAAGAAGAAGAAGAAGAAGAAGAAGAAGAAGAAGAAGAAGAAGAAGAAGAAGAAGAAGAAAAAGAAGAAGAAGAAGAAGAAGAAGAAGAAGTGGGGGAGAATGAGTAGGAGAAATATAAAATGAAAGAGGATGGAAGGAAGAAAAAGAAGAAGCCTCTTTACAGTCTTTTCAGCAGGTTAAGCAGCTTCTAACTAATTCCCTACCCAGCGACGCAACATAATTTCCTCACTTACGTATAATGTGATACATTTCTCCTATCAATTTGTGTTCCACTCAGCACTTGGGGGAGGGGGGGGGGTGGGAGGGGGGGGGGGTAGGGGGGGGGGGAAACGACTCATTCAATCATCTTATATAAACTCGTTATGTCTGTTACTATCATAACCTCACTAGCATCCTTTTAGTGCTACTTTACAATATTTCTTTACACGACACACACACAATTTAACATGTGCCAATGACAGAGTAGTTAAACGACGTTGAGCAATGCTGTTAATTTATATGTCAGTATGTGTTAATTTATTTTTGTTTTTTAATATCGAAGAGTCAGCTTGCAATTATGTGTTAATTTATATAGTAGTTTATGTTCTAATTACCCCGAGGTCTGGCCTGAGGACAACGGTTTCTCTTAAATAGTTTTTTTAAGTGTCTGTTGTTAGGGTGTTGTTTGTTTGATTGGGTATTGTTTATCGTTTGTTTTATCTATCTGTCTGTCTGTCTGTCTGTCTGTCTGTCTGTCTGTCTGTCTGTCTGTCTGTCTGTCTGTCTGTCTGTCTGTCTGTCTGTCTGTCTGTCTGTCTGTCTGTCTGTCTGTCTGTCTGTCTGTCTGTCTGTCTGTCTGTCTGTCTGTCTGTCTGTCTGTCTGTCTGTCTGTCTGTCTGTCTGTGGGTTTTTCCCCTCTACCACTCACTCTACCTCTCTTGCTCATTATTTTAGTTTTTTCTTTGTCTTTATGACTCCCTATATACGCCCCACCCCTGTCCCTCACTTTCACCTCTCTCCCCTTTCCCCCCTCTCTCTCACACACTCAACCACACACTCAGATACTCTGTCACTTGTTAGTTAAAGTTAGTTAGTTGCGTATCCTTTACAGGACGTTGCAGAACCATCTCCAGCATTCACTGTTGTGGTTTTTCTAGGCAAATTTGTGTCCAGTAGTTTGCCATTGCTTCCTGTACGGTCGGCTTCTCGATACCACTTTGGAAACCATTGCAAGGCGCAATGCCTGCAGCTGAAACCGAACCGGGCACCCTGGCATTACGAAGCGCGCGCACAACGCCTAAGCCACAGACGACGACCTATCACTTGTACCCTCTGATTTCTACTACCCGTTTTTTGTTACCCCATCACTTGTACTCTACCCCCCCCCCCACCACCACACCTCATCCCCCCCACCACCACACCCCATCTCATGTAATTATTTTTTTTTTGGGGGGGGCGCGCTTTTGGGGAGAGCTAATTATGGATGTTTCCTTCGAGGTCGTAGTGCATCTACTTGAGAAGCGAAGAACCAACAGTCTGCACACACATAAGTCAGATCTATACAATGGATGTGCAAGCAAAATGCAAGGTCTAGAACAAAACCAGTGCAGACGTGGACACAAATGTTGTACCGGAATGTTCACACTGTCAACGTGAGCAAGAAGAAGGGGAAAGTAGCCTGTCGACCGTTGGTCTCTTCTCTGTCTGTGTGTGCAAGTCTGTCTATGTCTGTGTGTGCAAGTCTGTCTATGTCTGTGTGTGTGCAAGTCTGTCTATGTCTGTGTGTGCAAGTCTGTCTATGTCTGTGTGTGCAAGTCTGTCTATGTCTGTGTGTGTGCAAGTCTGTCTATGTCTGTGTGTGCAAGTCTGTCTATGTCTGTGTGTGCAAGTCTGTCTATGTCTGTGTGTGCAAGTCTGTCTATGTCTGTGTGTGCAAGTCTGTCTATGTCTGTGTGTGCAAGTCTGTCTATGTCTGTGAGTCTCTGTATGTCTTTAATAGCCATACCCATGCCAAGTATCATTCTATCTCATATGTCACCACTTGTTCTCCGAAATCTTTTCATTGAACATACTCATGATAGACAGAAATAGATCTACACAATTCAAGAAGAAATGTTTCTACTAAAATAGAGAGAAATTAGTTTGTGGGCGCTTTGTGAATGTTCATAATATTTGTTTAGTTAACTTAATTTATCTGAACACCAAAGCGAAATTAATATTTCCATTACTGCCATACACTTTTGCTCTGGGGATCATACCAGCCACATCTCCTTGGGAAAGCGTTTCATTTAAAGTCTTGGCGTTCTTAACTCCACAAGGAACAATGCTCAGCAAACCTTTAACTAATTTTTATAATTTATTTATTATAATTTTATGTTTCCATTTTCCCCGATTTCCCCACGCGTTCTTGTATATTTCCTTCCGTTATAGTTCTTGAAATCAATATTTTCTCCTATTAATGTTTTTCCTGCTCCATGTTGACCTTGTCGGTTGTCGAATTAGCTTATGGTTGTGTTTCTTGATGAAGAGTGCCGTTCTGTGGCATAAAGATTTGTGAATCATTTTCACAACTTTTTTAGTCTCAACATGTCAGGAATCGATTCACGCGGCGGACGGTTTTTCTTGGGGCACAGTAACCCTACCGGTAAACATTGCGCTGAAAATCCCGGGCTACAGAGGCCACCCATTATACAACCGTCTTCCCATGTGGGTCACTGGACCCCATTGTGGGGGTGTGGTGGGAGGGGTGAGCAAGGGGAGATTAAACCCACTGCTATCTAATACGCATGTTGTGAAAGTCGACAATTTAGGGATGTTGTCTTCGACGACCGAGTCCATCTACCCCAGAGGCAAAGAACTATCAGTCTGCATAAAAATAAGTCATGTCAGTAAAATGGATGTGCACGCGAAACTTAGGTTCTAGAACAAGATTAAAATCAAGACGTAGACGAATAACCAGTACTTGTGGCTGGGGTGTACTGCTGGTGTACTGGGGTGTACTGGGGTGTACTGGGGTGTACTGGGGTGTACTGCTGGTGAACGCCAAGTAAAAGACAATTTTATTCATTGTCCTGTTGTCCATGGAGAGTCCCCGTGGCCGAGCGGCTAGACGCTCGCAGCAGATCGGAAGGTCGTGGGTTCGCTTCCAGGCGGAGCCAGACTATTTTCAAAAATGACCTTGGCTCCCATGTCGACCCAGCCTTGAGTGGCTACCGGGTGCAGTCCCGGGAAGTAAAGGCAGCCGGCGTGATGCTGACCACATCACCCATCTTGTGCCGATTGGTCTATAAAAATATAGGTCTAGCCCTATATGCCCTATACGCCTAAAGACTTTTTTTTACTGTTGTCTATGACATGTCACATAGGGCTCGCAGTTTGTTTCTCCGTTCCGTTCTATCCTTGCACTCACTTCAATATCATGGATGGAATACAGTCCAGCAGTCTCTCTTCAACGTTCACTTAATGGTTTCTATTGGACATTTTGTTTCCTCAATCTTGCTGTTTCCCATTTCACCGCCTGTTTGGTGATTCTCTGTTCATCTCTTCTCTGAATGCGACCAAAATGGCGCCATCTTCTCTGTATTATACGAGTTGATACCAGGGGTGGTTGCCTAGACATTTCCTTTTTTCTCCGCTCCTCTTCAAGAAGATATGTGATACCAAGTGCATGGCAAATCGTTTCAGTAATTTATAACGAGTTCAGAATACACGTCATGGCACCTGGAGGTGAGGTATTCGAATGCCTGAACCACAACCAAATCGTGACGAGCCAAAACCCAGTGCCAACCCAGGAGCTGGGCTGCAAGAACCAACACGGACACGGACCAATTTTGTGGAAGCCTTTCTGTGGCAAGACGTTTCTCTTGGGTAAACGTAACTCAACTGAGTCATCGTCACTCCTAATATGTTATTTGCTTAGCTTTGGCAAGGCCTGTCAAGTCTTTCTTCTTCTTTCACGGTATGTCCCCGGCGGAGCATAGGCTTCTATACTGGACAAGTTAGTTCATATTCGTCGAGTACCCGAAAATTGCGGGGAGCAGCCGTGGCGTCGCGGCTAGAAGCACGCCTACGGATCTAAAGGTCATGAGTTCCATAATGACCTTGACTTACAGGACAACCCAGCCTTAAATCGGCATCGGGTAAAGTCATGGGAAGTAAAGACGGTCGGTGTGAAGTTGACCACACCATCCATCAAGGGTCTATACAATTATGAGCCTAGCCTGATATGCCTGATGCGCCACTGGCATCTAAAGGGACGTTTACTTTCTTGAAAGTAAAAGCAAAGAACCCCTTTTCACGCTGTATGTGTTTTAGGCATATAGGGCAAGCGATATTTTTTAGACAAATCATCACTTAGTGGGTGATATCGTCAGCATCACGCCGTCCTTCTTTGCTTCCCATGACGTTACCTGATACTCATTTATTGCTGGGTCGACCTTGAAGCCAAGGTCACGTTTTGAAAAAGTCCGGCTCAGCCAGAACCAGAACTGACGACCTTCCGATCCCCCAGGCGAGGTCCACCGCTACACCACGGCGACTCTCTACTTTCTTGCCACTATATAATAGAGTTAGACGGGAGTTTCTTGAATTAGCTTTGGTTAGCTTCTCATCCAACAAGGATATTTT